TCATAATTAAGAAAATTTGATATTCAATTAATTTCCAATTTTTAAACAAGTGGATTCTTGGGCTAAGCACTTTTTTTAATCCCGCAAAGTATCTATCTACAGAATGATTATATTTATTTACTTTTATTCAATGCTAAGTTGTATGTTTCAAGCGAATGCTGTGATACAAAGAACAGCGGAGGCATTAGATGGACCTCGCTCCATCCTAAGGAAAAAAATATATTCAACAGTAATAATAACTTCAATTGGAATCAATGAAATTTTTTGGAATATCTAATAAAGGCGTTTATTGTTACTATAACGACAATAATGATCAATAACGAAATTAGCCGAACATTTGCCGAACTAATATTTTTGGATGGTTATTAAAGTCCCAAATTTCCTACCAAAATTACGAAGAATATAAAAGCGCTTTTATTTTTTTATTTACCTGTTGAAACGTTTCGTTCTTCTTTCCCTTTATCTTCATAAATTTATTTAAATACAATTATATGCAAATAAATTTTGGCTTTTGAAAATAAATACGACAAGTACGATTAATTTTTCAAGTATGATTAATTTTTCAATCAGTAACATACTTCGAAGGCTTGAACGAATTAAAGGGACGCAGAGGAATATGTTATTGTCGAAACAACTGAAGGTGTCTTTTTTAAACTTTTAAAAATATATAACACTGCGGCCATATATCCATTCCTATAAAACCTTACATATTTATTATAAATATAATGACATTACAAGTTTTCGGTCAATAATTAAATTTCTTATAAACCAACGGCGACAAAGAATCTCGTACATTTGATGTTGTTTTAGAATATCTAATATCAACAGAGCAACAGAGAAATTTAAAAAGGTAAATGGGTCTAGAATATGTCACACTATGACAACACACATTATTAGAATATTACTCAATAGGCCCTCAGGTGGAATCCGTAAGGCACCAGATGTGCTATTCAAAAAGATAAATGAACTTAAAATAGAGAACACTCTGAGAACAATAAGTAACAACATTGGCAAATCCTCAGGAAGAGCCCGCAAAGCTCTAGGCGGTCGGTGCTCCAGTCATTATCTAGAGGGAATTAATGGAATGCTAATTGAAGGATGAAAATTATTCATTACATGAAATGACACATAAACACATTTCATGAATTGTATAAATCATCATTGTATTTTATGTATTTATGATCAAACATTTGGTATTTATAATAAATATATAATACACTTGCGATGCGGAAAAACATTCGCCGGATCAACTAGTATAATATTAATACATAACAGTAATTAATACTAATATATAATATTAATTAATATTAATTTATAAAATAAATTAATTATAATTCATTTCGATTTTAATGTCAATATGACATTAGTTACTATTTTTACTTAATAGAAACAGTGGTATTTAAAAAAGAGACTTTGAAAAGTAGTGAACTACAACAACAAATATTTTTTTTAACATTTTTTTAAATAATTGAATTCTTGGCTGACCTTATAGGTTTTTGATCAAAATTGTACGACCTTGGTTGGCTAATGTGCACTGACCCTGAGCTTCAAATTTGACAGGGCACGACTTCAATTTTTTTTACGTGCAATCTCAAAAAAACAATTATTTAAAAATAATTAAGCATAAAAAATAATTCCAAGATCACTAATGATGGGTATTTGACAATACTCGAGAGAGTTGACTATACAAGTTAACTAAAAATTCAATTAATTAAAATAATATAAAAAGAATTTTTGTTCTTGTGCTTGTAAATCATATCATAATTTTATTATATTTATAATATAATTTAAATATAATTGTATTATAATAATCTTATAATTATATTATAATTATTTTATTTTATTATTATTTTATATAATTAAATTATATTATTATATTACATATAATTATGACTATATTATAATATTATTATATTATATATAACTATATAATAATAATATAATAATAATAACAATATAGACATATTATAATTATAAAACCACACGTTTCTTTTTTAGTAATCCTATTAAGTTTAACTGCTTACTTAATACAAAATCTAACATTCATTTCAATAAAATTTAATCTGTTGATTTAAGTGAGGGCCGTGATATAAGGTTTACTTATTTTATTATATATTATACAATGTATAGTTAAAATAAAAAATTGCAATGCTATGTAATTGTTGACAAGATTTTAAAACTTATTATTAGTCTCATGGTAAGAGAAGATACAATACATAAATTTATAAGTATTTCAAGAAAAATAATTATATTATAATGACATGATTATATTGTATAATTATAATTATAAGGTATAAAAACTAATTTACCGACATTGCCACTCAGAACATAATATAGTTTAATTGAGGTATATTTAAAATTACAAAAAAAAAAAAAGCAGAGTAATAGCAGAGTCACACAACTAAATAAATATTTTTTAAGGCAATTTAATGTTTCTCAGGTGTCATTTTAATGCACATCGCAAATGTTGTTCAGTCAAATTCGCCCTAAGTTTTAAAATTTTCCACAAAAATAAAATCATAAAGTAGCAATTAAATGGAGCAATCACTTCGGCCATGAAAATTTCAGAAAAATATAATAATGAATTATTACTTAATAAAACACTTGGGCTTCGCAAAAAATCTTTTTTATTTCAATTGTTTATCATGGAAATAAAAGTGTAGGGAAAACAAGGACACCGAACAGCTCAAAAAAATTCAATTGAATCGCACAACCGACAGGAATGCTTCCTAGACAAATTGTTATAAATAAATAAACAAAGGAAAGTACAACTGTTAAATTGCAGCTCATACCAAAACATTAGGAATTCCCCTCTAACACCAACCGACCCGACCGCCATTTCTCCACATTTTTGATTTATAATATAAATTTGGGCTCTGTTTGAGCTTGCCAAATAAAATGGCACGTAATAAAATATTGTTAAGGACGAAACGAAATCGTTAAAAATTTGAGTTACCAGTGCATACGGCACAGGAAAGTGAAATTAAACGAAGCAATATTTATGTACTATATATAGTATGAGTGCTTATATATAGAGATATGTATATATATCTATTAAAGTTAAGTATGAAATTTATGTGTTTAGTTTGTTGTCATAAAAACTGTAAGCGAATGCGAGTGTAAGGACAAAAAAATTATCAGTTAAGGGATAAAAGTTGGTGAATGTCCAAATTAAACAAAAAATGAATATTTTATCATGATAAGCAATAACGATTATGTTCGTATTTTGACTATTTTTTGTTGTATTTCTGTATTTGCTAAAGTTGTTTAAGGATTGAATAATAAAATTAGCTGACCTTCATATATTGCGTAGAAAAGTTACTCATAAAAATAATGTTTATTGTTTATTTTTTTTTTTAGAAAGTTATATTTACTATTTGTAGATATTTGTGTGCTAAAACACGTAAAATTTGTCCTAATAGTACGCTTAATATTTAATATGTTAATACAAAGGCTTACAGCACAAATTTTTTCTTATTTTGATATCGAGTTTTTAGTGCAGTTATCCAGCACTTTTTTATGTTCATGTTATTTTATGTTTTACACAGGGTTTGAATTGCTTGCTGAAAATTAGCAAAAGCAACCATATTTTGACTAATGCATAACTATGGACCAGTCGATTTTTGTCAAACGACTAATTGCTAACGCATTGCATATGAAAATGAAATAAAAATATGCATTAGCAACAGCAAAAAACGTAAACTGGTTTCATTTTGATTGCTTGCTAATAGTCAATTTTACATTTTTGACTATTATGCATTTGGAATATATGCAACTTGCTTGCTTATGCGTTAGTTGCTTGTGTTTTGCTATTAGCAAATGTGTATGGATTTCTTTTTTTGTTTTTGTTTTAAGGGAATGTGTACGCATTATTTCTTTGTCAATTATGATGTGTGCGTACAATTTGTATGCAATTAATATAATTTTATTTGTAATTAGATTATGCCTAAACTTATGTTTATTTTAATTATTAAATTTATGATATATATGATATATATATATATATAGATAGATATATATATATATATTAATTATGAACTATTAATTCATATATATATATATATTAATTATGAACTATTAATTCATATATAAATAATTTTGTATTAAAATTAAAATATAACTTAATATTTAAAACAGTTTAAAAAGTGAAATTTTTTATTTTATTTAAAAAACGTTTTTATAAACTAATGTGTTTAATAAACGACCTACGCCCGGTAAAAAAACATAAAAACTTTGTTATCAATTATGATTAAAAATTTTAATTTGATGTTATTATTCTTCTAAATTTAAGTCCCATTCAGGAGGTTGAAACAACGGCATATCATCAATAGCATGGTCCAAAAATTGCGGATTTAGTTTAACCATGAGAATGTTTTCTAAAGTTTCATGATTAAGACGATTCCGTTGATCAGATAATATCAATTTTAGTGACGAAAAAGCACGCTCGATGGTAACCTTAAATGTAAATGACATTAATTTGATTATTCATATTATGCTAAACGAATATTTTACCTGAGTTGGTGGAATTGCAAAACATATATTCGCAAGCGCATGTAATTCTGGATCAGCAAACTGTCTTTCCTTCCAAAAATCCAATACATTTATATCAACACGTTGAAAAGGTACTTCAAAATTTCAATTTTGGTGTAGACGTCCATGTTGTTATTACTTTGAGCTTCGAAGTGGTTAGAAAGATAATCATTAAGGTACCTATCCTCATATTCGAGAGTATCTTCCATTTGTGTGCAATTTGTGGCTGAATTCTTCTTATCAATCAGGAAACCTGAGTTCAGTGCTGTCAGTCTATTATATAGTCGTTTTAAAAACAGAACAGCTTCGTTTTTTTGCTCTACAGTCAATGTATGGCTAAAGCGTGGGTCCAAATACAAACATGCGTTTAAGCTTTTGTTTGTTAGAAGTTTTACAGTTCTCACTTCTATATTATGCAACAAATTCGTTCCAATTTTATTTACAAGAGAACTTTTATCATCAAAATCATTTACAATTTTTTTGGTTATAAGATTGCACTTCATCCACTGTGCAAAAAAATTTCCATAATGCAGATGTTCTTCTTGAAATTTTATGATTGTTCGTTGTAATGGTTCAAACACAGTAGAATAACTCTTCACAAACTCCCAAAATTCATCGCATAATTCAAAATTCTCATGGTTAAACTAAATCCGCAATTTTTGGACCATGCTATTGATGATATGCCGTTGTTTCAACCTCCTGAATGGGACTTAAATTTAGAAGAATAATAACATCAAATTAAAATTTTTAATCATAATTGATAACAAAGTTTTTATGTTTTTTACCGGGCGTAGGTCGTTTATTAAACACATTAATTTATAAAAACGTTTTTTAAATAAAATAAAAAATTTCACTTTTTAAACTGTTTTAAATATTAAGTTATATTTTAATTTTGATACAAAATTATTTATATATATTATATATATATATATATTTATTTATATATGAATTAATAGTTCATAATTAATATATATATATATATCTATCTATATATATATATATATATCATATATATCATAAATTTAATAATTAAAATAAACATAAGTTTAGGTATAATCTAATTACAAATAAAATTATATTAATTGCATACAAATTGTACGCACACATCATAATTGACAAAGAAATAATGCGTACACATTCCCTTAAAACAAAAACAAAAAGAAGAAATCCATATACATTTGCTAATAGCAAAACACAAGCAACTAACGCATAAGCAAGCAAGTTGCATATATTCCAAATGCATAATAGTCAAAAATGTAAAATTGACTATTAGCAAGCAATCAAAATGAAACCAGTTTACGTTTTCTGCTGTTGCTAATGCATATTCTTATTTCATTTTCATATGCAATGCGTTAGCAATTATGCAAGCAATGCAATTAGCAACAGCAATTCAAACCCTGGTTTTACACTTTAAAACTTTAATTTTAGAATAGGTGTACCATGATGATATGAGAACATTTTATTTCAAACATTTATTTAATTGATATTTGGTCTGTTGTGGACTTACAAAAAGTCTTTACAAACAAAAGAGACGCAAACACCTACTTAATTGTTTCTGTTTCTCTCTGTGGATATATAAAAAGTCATTCAAATGAAGGTTTCAGGAAATAAATATTAACGACTTGTCACAATCTGCTGGTCCACAAGAATAGGAAACTATATTAGATTAACAATAATACTAACGATCGTAGAGATCCGTTTACTATAAATGTAGCGCCTAACTGGATGTGATTTCAAAGAATGGTAACTATTTGATGACTGACTACAAGTGCAGGATAATAGGTTAAGTAAAATTATATCGGCAATTGTAGGCCTACAACAATAGGGAGAAAATAATAAAATATTATCTTTTAACAACTGAGGATATTTTATTTTTTAGAATTGGATAAAATTTTACATTATATTTATATTATTCGAAACATTTCTTAGCATACATAGTTAGTAGATGTTTTGTACCAAAATGATTGAAAATTTACTATATCTGCAAAGCGACATATGTTAAGATATTTCTAAAAATATCTGTATTGGTTATAGAAATAAAGATTTAACGATTTTGTAAGCTATACCAAAGTAATTTACTTAAATGTTGATTTTTGAAGTCGAATATGACACGTCTTATGACAAAAAGAAACTAATTATAAGTTAGAAGGATTCCCGGAATAATGAAGTAACAACAACAAAAATTTTATTTAATTTATTGAAATATGGCTGACCATATAATATATAATACTTTAATTATTTTAAAATTAACTATATCACTTTTAAAGCGTGTAATTCAGCAAACTGTATTTAAATTTGGAGTAATTTTATTTAAAAGATTTTAATAGATAATGTGAAGTATGTTGATTTCTCTTGATAACACTTTATACCTATGTCTTATATTCGGTTATTATGCGATTGAAGATAAGTAGTTTGGGAATTGTAAATTGATTTACTCATATATAGTAGTTATCAGTTCACATATATTATAAATTGAAAACTGTAAACAGTGCCTAAAGTACAGTGAAATGTTATTTATTAACTTAAGTATATGTCGTTTACATTACAAATACTGTAAATATTAAACTGCGCATATATACACCTAAAGTTAAAAAAGTTTAATGAAAAACTAGCAGCATATATAAAAACTTTAAGCGATTGGCATTCCATATACTATTCAAAATTATACAGTTCTAATAGTTATAGTAACACCAGATAAAATATTTTAATAGTTCCTCCACAAATATGTTTCAAAATGAGTGTAAAACAATAGATTTCAAGTAAATATCTATATTAAAAAAAAACCAATAAAAAAAGAAAAAAAAAGAAATAAAGAATTAGCTACAATTTTTTTTAATTATTGACCTTTAGGTATACAAATACTAAAACTTGCACTACTGTTATCTACTATTTGAGGTATCATGGCATTAATAAAACAAATATATCTCAGGTGCATACACGCATCCAGCGCAAGAGGTCAGAACACAAGTAAAAAGATTTGTAATATAAAAACAATTTTATCAGAAAATGGTCATAGGTTTTGTAACTATTAAATAACTTTAGTTATAAATTATATTTATACATATTTAAAGCATATTTCGTTCCCTTCTACTATACCATTACAAACCTATAGGTATTTGTATGCTCAATACAAGTCAACATGTTTAATCAGTTTTAGGTGTATTTGTTATAAGCAAATAATATAATTACTGCATATACATTAAGACCGAAAAGTTTTCGGAAATTCTTATTTAAAATTCGCGCGCTGTATATTTTTCGATATTTTAAGTTTATGTAGTTTGGCAGCAATTAAGGACAATTACTATGCCAAAAATGAGCGCGATCTGTCAGAAAGTTCGTTTACGGCAGCTGTTGAAACAAGTTCCCTCATAGTGCGTTGCGAAAAAAAAAAATGGAAAAAATATTGAACAAAGAGTTGCATCAAATTTTGGGTGTTTGAACGAAATTTCGTGTGCAGAAACCGTTGCGAATGCACAAAAGCTTATGGGAAATCATTTTATCAAAAACCAAGTTTATGGAGTGGTACAAGCCTTTCAGAACGGTCGTACGACGCGAAGAATTTTCGCAACGCACTACTGAGGTGAACTGGTTTCAACAGCTGCCGTAAACGAACTGTCTGACAGATCGCGCTCATTTTTGGCATAGTAATTAAGGAAAGTGCTGCCAAACTACATAAACTTAAAATATCGAAAAATATACAGCGCGCGAATTTTAAATGAGAATTTCCGAAAACTTTTCAGTCTTAATGTATAATATGTGTTTACTTATAATATTCTATTCTATATAAAGAAATAATAATATTTTTATCTTTTGCTATAAGTTATAATTTAATGCTGTAAATTCTACATAATTGCTTGACATTTCTTCATATATTCTGTATTCAATTTAATTTATTTCTTATTTGAACATCATTAACAATTTCATTGGAATTTCTCAGTTTATATAAATAATGTCTTAAAAATTGCACATTATTTCAAGCTAATTTATTGATGAAATGAATTCTATTTGAAACCTACACAATTTCTAAAGAAAAGCAAATTATAGTCATTGAATGTTATTTTTTGAGGAAAGCTATTTTGTTTTTAGCATTTTGCATATATCCATTTTTAGTAGCTAATAATTTAAAAAAACAAAGCATATATTATATATATAATTGATTAAAAAACGCATACATTTTACATTAAATTTGGAAAATATTTTTTATATTAGAATTTTTATGGAATCATAAATGTCATGACCACAATTTATAAGATTGGTGAAAATATTAATTAAAATAATCTAAATACCATTAATATATAGCAATTATCTACCGTTATATACAATATTTTTAAAATAAATTTAATAATAAATAATTACTTACTCCTCATACTTACTACTATAAATAAATTCACATTTAAGTCGTATATTAGAGCAAAATAAATAGTTAATTTATTGCAAATAATTAAAAAAACCCTATTTAGGTAAAGCTTCCATTTTTTATTATAAAGCAAACAATAACAAACATTTTTTTTATTAATATAATGAAAAAAAAGATTTTATTTTTTGTGATGCTGCATAAAACAAAAATTCAACAAAAATCGTAAAATTAAAAAAAAAAAAATAAAATGAAATTTAATTACCAATTAACTTAATATTAAATTGAAACAAAATTGTATCTCTTATCACGTAAAAATGGCGCAATATCAAAAGCAATTTCAATTTCAGTTTTATATACAATAAACATTATTTAAATATTCGTTATTATAATTTCGTTGAATTTTGTATGCATTACGGACACGCAAATGTGGAATACAGGAACGTTTGAGATATTAGA